GAAATGAGTGATGAAGATAAATCACCGAATACAGAAGATGAAAGTGACCACAATACCGACACCGCAGAATGGGTACCAGAAACTGACCAAGAATAAAACATTGAAGAACCTTGTACCAATCAAACTGTCGCCTGTTACAGACGCAAGGGTGGTACAAAATGGAAGAAAACACCTGATGTTGTAAATGTTCGTACACGGAAACGAAACATCATAAAAATTCATTTACCATGCAATAAAGGTGCCGGACGTGAAACTAAGACAAAAATCGCAATCTGGTCTTTATTCTTAGACGAAACAGTCATCAATGTTGTTGTTTGTTGTACTAATATGTACATACATATAATTAGGAGCAAAATCGAGCGAGAGAGACACTAGAGATGCCGATGCTACAGAGATACGAGCATTTATCGGTTTACTATATCTAATAGGAAGTTTTCGCTGTTCTCGAAAAATATTCACGAATTATGGAATAATTCAAGACGCAATGGAGTGGAATCGTGTTACCAAACTATCTCTAAAAAGAGGTTTCGGTTTTTGATCAGATGTCCAAGGCTTAAAAGGAATTACCTTAAATCACCAAAACAGTCAAGCTTTAAATTTTGAAAAAGAAAATGTGTTGGTGAGATGGGATAAACACTTTGCAATCAAATATGTGGTTTGTAATTATTTGTGGGTGGCTTAACTTGCGCCAAGGAAAATTTACAATCGAAAATTGAGTCTTTTCAGGGGGGACATGAGTTTATCTCCTTGACTGCGATGTGAAAAGGTACTTTGAATTGAATTGAATCTTCTTAAAGTTACTTTTTAGTTCGTAAAAGAGTAACTATTATAATTGTCGACAAAAAATTTGAATTTTACAATGAGCCATAATTCAGCAGCTAAATTTACTGCTGTCCCCTATAAGGAAAGGCTGATTGACCAAGAATCAAGTAGGCAAACTATGGACACAGTGACTGTATCCTCGTTACGTTGAATCGAAGATAAACCTTCGCCGTACCGTACGTATATAAAAAGATAAACGTATAATTTTATTAAAAAAATAGGTACTGTAACATTTACCCCATAAATACCCCACCTGGTGGTACCAATACGCTCCGCCAGACGCTCTGCGTTAGCGCTCGCGTTGCCTCTGATGACCACGCCAACCACCCTCAACCCCATCTGTCAGAGATACGATAAACCCTACGGCAGGAGAATAGATAGGAAATAAAAGAACCTCGAACCACCGATACTGTGCTTCACAACATCGAGTTCACCTAATAGGTGATCATCGTTTCAAGCAAACTTTGCAGGGACACTACAAGTCCAAGCCCGCCACCACCGCCGAGCCCCAGACCAAGACCATGGAGACGGATATCCCTGTGGTGACACCACGTCCCCCAATCACCCCGAAGAGCAGGATTCCACCGGTAATCCTGCGTGACGGCCAGAGATGGTCGGAGATTTCGCGGCGGATGACTGAAAAGTCCATCCAGTACTCCAAAGCGAAGAGCACTCCGGACGGAGTAAGAATCCAACCCGTCGAAGCTGACGATTTTAGGAAACTCGTCAAGCTACTCGACAGCCTGAAGGTGCCGTATCACACCTTCACGCCCCCGGAGGAAAAAAAAACCCTCGTTGTCATCCGTGGCATCGCCGTAGGCGTTGCCAGCCCGGAGGTGCTCGACGACCTGGTGCACTTGGGTTTCCAACCCATTCAGGTCAGTTGAATGAACCGACGTGACCGTCCGATGCCCCTCGTCCTCGCCGAGCTGCCCATGTGCAAGAAGGCCGACATCTTCGAGATGAAGACACTCTGCGACCTCTCCGTCAAGGTGGAGAAACCCCACAAGCCGAAGGACGCTGCCCAATGCCACCGCTGTTCCCCAAGCCACAGCAACAGAAGACTTCCAAGAAGCCCTCCGCATCATCCAAGACGACCGCCCCCAAGACCGCCGCCCTCAAACGCGCTGTTTTGTGAAACTTTTACAGTACCCAATCCAACATTGAACCACATTTTGAAGCATCGAAAAAATGTACCTGATTTCGGTAGTGGGATTGGATAATATATACATATATTATGTTTATATTATTAAATAGTTAACTGGAAAATGGAGATCCTTTTACAAAAATGAAGTGAAAAAAGACGTTAAGACCAAGACTTGATATTTTTTTCTCTTACATATATATGAGGAATGGGAGGAGCAAACGACAATCCGAATCCAGTTACAGTCTAAGGCTATATATATTCTGGGAAAGCATTCCGTCAGTTGCCATTTCAATAAATACAAATTGTGAAAAAGACAATGCTTCATTACTTACACAAGCAGATGACAAAGAAATATGTTTAACAGAATCACTGTCCTCTTCCATCATAAACACCAAGTGTATTCCAGCACCATCAAATGAAAATGATGAAGACGGTGACATAACCAAGCTGGAAATTTTAGGTGATTGCAGTGAAATAAGAGTAGAATTACCACATAGTGACCATACTTTAGCAGCAGTAATATATAACTGGTTTCGGAGTACTCTACCTCACTAGAATTAGTCTTTTTAAGGGTTTAAGAGCGCTTACAAGAGGTGATAGGAGTTGATAAGACTGGTTCCTGAGTCCCCTAATCGTGTACGAATTGTTGATTCGCGGTATAACTAGCATGTGGTGCATACTCCCTCAGTGAGAAAAGTGGAGACTGGTAGTGATGCAGAAAAAGTAACTATTCGTTACTCGAGTATTCGGTACCCGAGAAGATCCGAAGTAACGAATACTCACATGAGAAAATATTCGTTACTTATGCAATCAGGTACTCCTCGGATCTCTGCTGACTGCCGAGCGCAGATCCGATGTTAGTTTATAATAAAACCTTGAACTGTTTTATCTACGCATGCTCCCATGCTCGGCAGATTTCTAAGCTAAATATTGAAGTTGGTATCTACTTGCTGAATAATTTTAGCGTGGCGCCCTCTAGACATGAATTTCATAAATAGGTTTAAAAATGGATGGTTTTCTACTCTACATGTGCTTCTTTTTTAAATGAAATGTTTTTCCCCAAAATTGAGGTTATAAAAATATGTTAATCCCCGAGATTGAAACGCGTACCCGAGGCTATAAAAGGAACCGATGCTGATTTTTCTCCATTCATTATTTCATTAGCAGTTCGTAGTCTGAGAAAGTATTTGTGATTTTTTTATTGTGAATTTAGTGAATTTATACCAAAAGGTGAGTGCTAAATAATTCATATTATTAATTTTAAGCAGAATAATTACTATTTAGTGTAGAATATTTTTTCTTATTTTGATATATTACGATTACGCATTTTTTAACTGTCAAATTTTCTCTTTTGATTCACCCAAATATTTTTTTTTATTTATTCTAGAAGCTATTATGTCATCAGAATCTCAAAAAGTGCTTGCGCAAAAAAGAAGTATTATTTGGATCCACTTTTCGGTGATTTCCAATGAAAAAGCAAAACGTAATTTATGCAATTCGATATATTCCTAGAAGGGTGGAACAACTTCCAATCTCAAAAAACATTTACAAACCAGGCATCCTACAATTCTGTTAGAAGAATCTAGGCCTGGAGTGAGTCATAAACGAAGCTCATCTGCAACGGAAGGTAAAAAATCTGTCCTTTTCAATTTTCAGTATTTTAAAAATCAATTTTTGATTGCAGCGACAACCAGTCTCTCTACATCCACAACTGTTTCAACGACATCAGATGAGGAGTCAACAAGCAGTACGTTGTCTACTGCTCCTTCTACTTCAGGCTTACAGTTTCCAGCTGCAGAAGTTCCAAAAAAGAGGAAACAGCAGGCAAGCTTAACGAGTTTTGTTTCGCGGCCAATTTCATTGCATCGACAACAAAAAATTAATAACTTAGTACTAAATATGATTCTAAAAGATCTTCACCCATTTTCAATAATTAATGATAAAGGCTTTAGAGAACTGTTGAAAGAACTGGAGCCAGCATATAAAATGCCCAGCCGACCAACTTTCACCAGCTCTCTTTTGCCACAAGTATATAATAGGGTTGTAGAAAAAGTAAAAAATTTCTTAGGCACATCAGAATTTGTAAGTCTGACCACTGATGCGTGGACTTCCACTTCAAATCAAAGCTACATTGGAGTCACAGTTCATTTCATCACCACCGATTTTGTGTTTCATTCTTGTTTACTCGATTGTTTTGAATGTAGTATTAGCCATACTTCTCAAAATTTAGCAAACGAAGTACAAGGGATTGCTAATAAATGGGGTGTAGAAGAAAAAGTTGTTGCTGCCACAACTGATAATGCAGCAAATGTTGTAAATTCAATTAGATTGTGTAAATTGGCATCATATCCCTTGTTTCGCGCACACTCTCAATTTGATTGTACAAAATGGATTAAAAGAGATTAGACGTAAAGGATTCATATTTTCATAACAATAGCACTGGGCACTTTCATTTTTCAGGGTTCACATTTTGTTTCAGTTTTCAGGGTTCATACTGAATAGGAAAAAGTTTCTTCGTTTTGATGATTTCCTCCTTAACTCTTTGAGTGTCAGCGGTACATACGATATACCACGTTTTTTCACATTCTTTAGCGGCGGTGGTACTCTATGTATACCATATATAAATTGTCTTCTGGCTAACGCATAAGCGGTACAGTTTCTAAACCAACTTAACACTGACATCTAGTGAACCGTAGCTGTACTGTAGGAGCCAGAGTTCTACAATCTGGCGAATTTTATGGGATGAAAATATTCCTTGAATGTTCAGACTTGTTACAGCAAGTTGTACCGTAGTACATTAATCAAAGCAGTGTGATTTTTGGAGTTTCTTTTGAATAAGTGTATTAATTGAGATCATTGGTAAGTACTTTTTTGATATTAGCGTTATGTTTCAATTATCGTGTAAGATAACCAATTTTCTACGGAGGTACTGTAAATGTACCACCGCTGCATTTGCCCTGTTGTTAATATTTTATGTTTATGCAGAAAAATGTTGCGATTCAACGAAGAATTACCTTTTCGATTAGTGGGTATGAATATAGAAGATCTGAATCGAGAAATTGAAAATTTGAGCGATAATGAAATTATCGAGCCGATTCCTTCGGGATCCGAATCGGAAACCGATATCTCGGATAGAGAAGAGCTTACAATAGATGGAAATTTAAATCCTGAAATTGTAATGTCCGAAGATGAAGCTGATGAGTCCGAATCAGATATACCTTTAGCCCATATCAAAAATTTACTACTCCAGCCTGCAGCAAATAAAGACTACAGCCCACCAACATGGGGAACTACGCATAAACCAGAGACACCTTCAGATTTCATACACTCAACTGGCCCTTCTTCATTTATAAGGAGTTTGGAGAATATTAGTCCGCTCAAAATTTTCCAACAGTTTATAACTGAAGACTTTATTCAACATTTGGTTTTTCAAACAAACCTATACGCAGAGCAAGAAAAAATAGCTACTGGAAAAAATTATATTTCAACAACAATGATCGAAATAAAGACTTTTTTGGGTATCAATTTGCTAATGGGCATAAAGCGTTCGCCCAGCTATAAGGATTATTGGTCCAGTGCACCTGATCTCAATGACCCTTTCATTTCTCGTCTAATAGCTCTAAAACGATTCAGTTGGCTATTATCACATTTGCATGTAAATGATAACTCTGTAATGCCTGGACGATCATCTCCCAATTTTGACAAACTTTACAAACTGCGTCCAATGATTGATTTACTATCAACGAATTTTGAGAAACATTTCTTTCCAAATCAACATATAGCAGCCGATGAATCAATGATAAAATTTAAAGGTCGTAGTTCTTTGAAACAATTTATGCCAAAAAAACCAATCAAAAGAGGTTATAAAATGTGGATGCTTGCAGATAAAACTGGCTACTGTTTGAAATTTGATTTATATACAGGAAAAACTGATTCCCAAGAGAAGAGTCTTAGTTCTCGCGTTATCAAACAACTTACCTCTCATTTGCAAGGCAAGAATCATCTTTTATATTTTGATAACTTTTTTAATAGCGTGCCACTATTAGAGGAACTAAAAAAACAACGCATTCATGCTGTGGGCACAGTGAATATTTCTCGCCGATATCTGCCTAAGTTGAAGGAAGACAAGAAAATAAATCGTGGCGAATTCGAGTGGTATACAAGCAACACAAGTCTTGCAGCCATAAAATGGAAAGATAAAAGGTCTGTACACATTCTGTCAAATTTCCATGATCCTGAAAATATCAGTGAGGTGGGTCGGCAAGAAAAGAATGGTAACATTACGCAGGTCCCATGCCCAGAAGCAGTTATCGACTATAATAGGAACATGAATTTTGTTGATAAATTTGATCAATTATCGAGTTATAAAATTGATCGACGAAGCAAGAAATGGTGGCATAGAATTTTTTTTTATTTACTGGATGCTGCAGTAATAAATGCATATTGCATTTATAAATCATTAGATGTGCCTGAACTGTCCTCAAAAGACTTTAGACGAGCTTTAGTCAATGGACTACTAGCAGAACAAATTGTCGCTTCTAGCGCCAACAAGCGAAGATCCAACGATACCCCAATGGCACGGATTGAAGTGAAAAAATGTAAACCATTTATTCCTCCAGAAGTCAGACAAAATTCGTCTGCACATCAACCAGAACGCAGCACCAGAAGAAGATGTGCTTTGTGCAGCACAAGCGCCAAACAAGTGCGAACTGATTGGATTTGTTCTGTTTGTAAGGTACCTTTATGTTTATCAAAACAAAAAAGTTGCTTTCAAAGCTATCACAAATCGCAATAATTTTTAATTTTATTACTTAATATATTTGTAGAAAATATTCTATTTTCTAATAAAATTCAAATCAAAAGATGTCGAAGTGATTTTTTAGTACCTTTTCTAACTAACAAAACACTTATTATGCTACCTATTGATAATATTAGATAATTTTGAACAATAATTATTCATTTTATTTGAGCATTGTGAGCTTCTAACGACTTGTAAACAGAAAAAATAAGAAAAAAAAATGCAGTAAAAAGATTGCTTTACAGTCCCACACGTGTAGATGGTACACTATGAATACCACCTCCTAATCAGAAAAAACAAAATGTTTTTTAAGACAATCCAACTCGAAAATTCTTAACCAATACAATGGCAGAATTGTTTGAAATTTGTCCAATGGCATTCACCGAAAAATTTTTTCAGTGAAAAAACATTCTTCTGTCAGGCAACAACACTGTTTTTCAGCGAAATAAATTATGTCAAATTAATTTGTCAAACTTGTCAAATGAACTTTAATAAAAAAAACGATAATACAAATTACTTTTCTGTTGGCGTTAAAGGCATAATCTTCCAAAATACTGGCCACCTCGTTCATTTCGACTGCTTTATTTAGAGGAAACTTGCGTATTTCACAAAATTCTGTAAACTGCTTCCAAATTGAATCTTGCGTTCTTGCGGTCTTTCGGCACTGACTTTCTTTCACTGCATTTCGAATTTCATACACAGTCTTGTTACCAAATCTTGCTCCCAGAATTCAGAAACTCAACCAGCAGCACACACAAAATTTGATGTTTAGAAATTTATTTACGTTTTGCCTTGTTGTTTTGTTACTATTTAGACTAAGTAGGTATGGTTACTCAACGACTACGCTAACTATAAATTATGTGAATTATTGTCCGTAAAAAGTAAGTAAAAATTTTCTCTTTGGATTGTCAAGCCGAATATAACTCGTGATCTGATTTTTTCTGCAAAATTTGTGTGAAAATTAACTCGTAGCTGTTGCTTTTGGAAAATCACACTCGTCTCCTTCGTCGACTCGTGTGATTTTCGTCGCAACAGCTACTCGTTAATTTATGTCACAAATTTTGTCGGAAAAAATCAGACCACTCGTTATATTATATTTGAAAAAATATTTTTTTTATGTTTACTACACCTGTGTAACTATAGTAAGCACATTTTTATAAAAATTCAAAGCAAATAATTTGGCTGCTCCACTCCGTGTTTTATTTTCCTGAAATTTCTGCGCCTCAAAGAGTTAATATTAATTTTAGGTTTAACCATGACATTTGGGTTCAAATCATTTTCTCTAACCGTCTTGTGTGGGAGTACAAGACTCATATTTGCAGAATGTTAACTTTCACACTCTGATGAACATTTAATAATGTTGAGTACTTTTCTGTCACACGTCAGGTTATTTTCAGACTGTGACCCTATCTGAGGTGGAGTTTGATATTGATTGTAGAACACCACTTACAGTTTTAAAAATTAATCAAATTTAATAATGCTGAGTAGAATATTATATTTTGCAAAATGTATAATGGTATATTTCCACAAAAATTACATGGTTATTTTATCATGAAACCGCTGAAGTTTTGTAGGATTTACCAAGTTCGTTAGAACTCCGTTACATTTCAATGTGTTTTAGTACTTAAGTACTGAAATATTGTTTGGGCGACATAGGATTCGTTACTATTTCCTTTAGTTATTAAGAATAATTGCGACACGTGCTCGTAACAATGATTTAAACAGCGGGATTATTCTGTAGGTACCTACACGTCCGAATTCTAGATTCTGATAAGCGTCTTACAGAAATTACCAGTATAAATGCGCATCTGCGGCTGCTAACAAAACTATTACGAATTTAAGCGTATAAAGATCACCGATATGTGCACAAGGGATTTCAACATTCACTCATCGGCAATAAAATAACGTACAAAAATTTGTGGCGACGATTGGTTCTAGATTTAAGATAAGGCCTACCTAAACTATGCGCTAAAACAAAGAGGGGAAAAATATTATATAAATTAGGTATACCAAATTAATTAATGAACCCATGGGTGCGAACGTTCGCAAAATATTTTCGATGCAACGAAGCAATATATCCAAAGTATGTATATGTAGCTACAAATATGTTGTGCTGCAGCACAATCAATGATACCATATATTTTTCACTAGTGAAAACGTGTTATTAAAGCATTATACTTAATGCGTCCTCTGTGTGGAGTGTGGGTTATTACCGTAAGGCATTACGGATCTTAAAATTTCAACGTGAAAATTGCAAGGACTGGTGCGCACTATTGGTTAAGTAAATTTCGCTGAAGGCTTTTGAAGTTGTTTTATCTTGTTTCCTTGACACAACCATTTGTAAAATACAGAGTACAAAAGACATTTGTAGTTCCATTGGCCATCGTTCCTACATGTACTTGCCTAGTATTTGATTGTTGTGGTATTGTCCGGCGTTTCTTTTTTTTTTTTTTTGTTTTCTTTTTGTTTCTCCGTAATTACACCTAAATAGAAGTTCTCAGTATGAACTATACCAGTTTCTGATTAATAGAAGTGGTGAAGGAATTATTGTATGCAACTGGACATGCGAAAGGAGTAACTTTGTTTTCGTCAGTTTGTCTCGCCAGCTTTTCTGTTTGGTATTGAGCTGTATTATCTACAGCATGATATGTTCAACTTGAAACGGCGATTATCGTGAAGTTACATTTGTGTTTTTTTAAGTTATTTTTTTAAGTTATTTTAAGTTATTAATAAGAGGTTTATTCCTATGTAGAAACTGGTGTGAGCCACTATTGCCACTAAGAAATTTGTACGTTTTCATTCTGTTTTCATTAATAAATAAATAGATAAATGTAAGAATAGTTAAAATCTCATGACCGACTGAGGTAAAGTCTGTATATAGTGAACCTTTATCTTGCAGAGCTTATAAACTTCTTTTTTTTTTGGAAATATGGAACAGTTTTGGAGATCGATTAAATGTAATTATTGACCAATATTTGTGTCTTACTCACATTTGGAACGTTCAAAAACATGAGTCTTCCTTTTTAGATCGCGGTGTGATTTTATCCAGCCGCATTTAATTTCGTTTTCAGTTACCAAATAATTCGATGTATTGTCACAACCTTAGGTCAGTTTTTAAATTGTTATCACTCAACATTCCGAACCCACCTGAAAATGCTACCATCCATGAAATAATAAAAATATCGTTCTAAAGACTGTGCACGAAAAAAATTGGCCACATAAAAATAATAATAATTCCCATAAAACTAGGGTATAATCGAGTAGGCATTGGTCGAGAGTTTACTTAGGTTCAGTTGTTTCCATGAAATGTCATGGCAATAAGATCTGCCAGATAATAGTGAATATGGAATCCAAACAATACGCTCTCCGAAAAAGAATCTTGCACATATACACCGAAGATTCTACGGCATCGTATCGGACCATCGCCCGACGTCTCGGTATTGGAAAATCAACTGTGGCAAATGTCATAAACAATTTTATTAGACGTTTATCTATAGAACGCAAACCAGGAACGGGCAGAAAAACGGGTCCGGTTTGCAAGAAAACAGAAGCAAAAGTGGTTGCCATCTTCAAGAAAAATCCCAACATATCGGTGAGAGATGTAGCAAAAAAAGTCGGAAAATCATCTTCTTTTGTGCAGAAGGTAAAAAAGTCAAAAGGGCTGAGAACATTTAAAGTTCGGAAAGCCCCTAACAGAACTGACAAGCAAGACTGTACTGCAAAAACCAGAGCACGCAAGTTGTATGACGCTATTCTCACAAAATTTGAATGTGTGATTATGGACGATGAGACCTTTGTGAAAAGTGACTTCAAGCAGCTTCCGGGACAAAATTTTTTTACGTGCATTAATAAATTTGATGTTGATAAGAATTTTAAACAACAAAAGATGTCAAAATTTGCCGGTGAATTTTTGGTTTGGCAAGCCATCTGCACATGTGGCAAAACCAGCAAGACTTTCGTCACTAAAGGAAGTGTAAACCAAGAAATTTACCTGGAAGAATGCGTCAAAAAAAGATTGATGCCATTTATCAGGTCACACAACACTCCTCCTTTGTTTTGGCCCGATTTGGCCACATGTCATTACGCCAGAACTGTTCTTGAATGGTACCAGAGAAATGGAATAAATTTCGTCCCGAAAGACAAAAACCCACCTAATTGTCCTGAACCAAGACCAATAGAAAAACATTGGGCGCTTGTGAAACAGAAGCTAAAAAAAAAGCCAAAAACAACCCACAAACTTATCCGACTTCGAAAAAGAGTTCAATAAAGCGTCTGCCGCTCTTGGCTCGACTACTGTATGTAAATTGATGAGAAGCGTCAGAAGTAAAGTGAGAAAGTTCGTATATGGATTAAAATAATTTATATGATAGCATTAGCATGTTATAAAGAATTGTTTATGTTAATTGTTGACGATAGTGTTGATAATATAATATTAAGTATTTTGTAGTTATTGATTTTTTTATGTGGCCAATTTTTTTCGTGTACAGTCTTTAGTTGTAGTTATAGCAGACAAGTGATAATTGTAACCAACACCCCTACCAGCGACATTTTCTTCCAATAAAATTGGTATACTGCCCAATCTGTTTCAATTGCCAACCCCTACGCGCAACACATGGGAAAAAATTTTCGAAAATGTCCGAAACTTAGAAAATCCGACTTGTGGTCAACTAAATTTAGTAACAATCAAAAACCTACAGTACATAACAGACAAGAATAATTGATCCGGTAAAAGAAGCAAAGCAGATCTTGTGGCTGTTGCCATGAAAGTTCGTGAGTGGAATTTTGGAGAACGAAGAAATGCTTTTTACTTCCCGAGCGTAAGCAAAGGAAGTATTGTAATCGAGTCCGTCGGCCGACTCTCTACTTTTACGTTTTCTCGATCTTTCATGACCCCTAGAAGACGAAGAAATAGGTCTCCCATTTCCGTCTGTCTGTCTGTCTGTCCGTCTGTCCGTCTGTCCGTCTGTCCGTCTGTCCGTCTGTCCGTCCGTCTGTCC